TCGAACTGCCCAGTTGTAGATCGAACTGCCCAGTTGTAGATCGAACTGCCCAGTTGTAGATCGAACTGCCCAGTTGTAGATCGAAGGGCCCAGTTGTAGATCGAAGGGCCCAGTTGTAGATCGAAGGGCCCAGTTGTAGATCGAAGGGCCCAGTTGTAGATCGAAGGGCCCAGTTGTAGATCGAAGGGCCCAGTTGTAGATCGAAGGGCCCAGCTGTAGATCGAAGGGCCCAGTTGTAGATCGAACTGCCCAGTTGTAGATCGAACTACCCAGTTGTAGATCAAACTGCCCAGTTTTAGATCGAACTGCCCAGTTGTAGATCGAAGGGCCCAGTTGTAGATCGAAGGGCCCAGTTGTAGATCGAAGGGCCCAGTTGTAGATCGAAGGGCCCAGTTGTAGATCGAACTACCCAGTTGTAGATCGAACTACCCAGTTGTAGATCGAACTGCCCAGTTGTAGATCGAACTGCCCAGTTTTAGATCGAACTGCCCAGTTGTAGATCGAAGGGCCCAGTTGTAGATCGAACATTTTAGCACATGGCTTGTGTTAATGACTTGTTTTGGTACATGTTTTAGATCTGCAAGGCTGTTCTCTCAGGGGGGGTGGGGGTAGTTTTGTTTCTTATGTAAGAAGGGATATGCTGTTTTATTATAGCCCCTAATATTTGCTGTAAGCGTCCTACATAGCCACACTTGCTCTTGGACCAATGAATTGTGACGTTACCTTTTGGGTGATAGGCGCGCAATTCTTTCAATTGATGGGAGAGCTACGTGTGATATTTTTCTAAAGCTCTTTAGTAGCCTTCACCCAAACCTAACTCAGTTTAAATTTCCAGCAACCTTGATGGACTCGATTGCTTTTATTTCATGCAGGTTTGACATTCGATTGATGAAGGAAGGTCGGATGAAGGGCCAAGCATTCGTCACTTTTCCTACTGATGAAGTGGCTTTGAAAGCTCTACGCTGTTTGCATGGATACGTTCTGCATGACAGACCAATGCTCATTGTATCCTTTCTGTCGCTGTTGTATTTTACCTCCGCTGTAAGGTACATTTTCAGTGGTTCTTGTTGTATAATTTACCCACAGTGTTATTGTCACTGGCTTGGCATCCAATTCTGAGTTAAGGTTCTCATTTACCAAAACAACAAGAAAAATGTAAAATTCTGTAGGTAAGATCACCTTAGGTTCATAGTAGGTCCGCCTAACTTTAGAATGGCTAGAAGTCACAGGTTCCCCTAAAATATCACTAATATCTGGTAACGGTAAGAATTTTTCAAGTCCAGAAATTATTTTTCGCATTTTCGAAATATCGATGATCACCATTCACCTGTACTCCGTTCAACAGCTGAGCAAGAGAGCCCAACGCAGCTTCAGTACAGCATTTTCTCTCCAGAAAAGAAAAGCCTAAAATTTTCCAGGAAAGTTGATGCATGTTCCTTTGCCGAACAACATAGGTCATTATATGTCATTCTCGTCATTTCAATCGTTTTTGTAACTAAAGTCATTTTAGTCTCTATTTGCTACTTGATTTTACTTGATTTCATAAAAGTCATCTACTATACGACACTTCAGTCACTTCAGTCATTTTAGTTATTTTAGTCATATTATTCACTTAATGTTACCTAAATCCTTCTAATCACTATATGTCACTTGTTGTCACTTTAGTCATATATTTCACTATCTGTCATTTTACTCATTTTACTCACTTGATGTAACTTCAGTCATTTTTGTCAATATACGTCACTTGATGTCGCTCTAGTCATATATGTCACTTTGTGTCATTTTAGTCATTTAGTCATTTTAGTCATTTTAGTCATTTTAATCATTTTGGTCATTTTGGTCATTTAAGTCACCTTTATAATTTAGTCACTTTATGTCACTTAGTGCAACTTTAGTAACATTTAGTGACTTAGGTCACTTTAGTTTTACTATATGTCACATTAGACATTTCATTCAGTAGATTGTCATTTTGGTTACTCTTTGTCACCCTAAAGCTCAATTCACACTAGACGCGGTTTTTGCCGCTGCCAAATAAGATTCGCGTTTTTTGAAGAATTGCGTGCGCATCGCGTTTTTTGGCAATGCGTCACGATGCGGCAACGCTGGATTTATCGTGTTTTATCGTATTAAAGTGTGAATTCAGCTCAAGGCAAATCAGTTTTTTCAGTCACTATATTTGAATAGCAACCTTTCCTCTTTGCTCATATCTCTTTTCTTTATATTTCTTGACTTCCTCTCAGCAATTCGGACGCAGCAATAAGTAACGAAAATGCTTTTATAAAGAAGGTTACATCGTGACATTGCAGTTCATTAATGCAAATAAAGAACTTTCTAATGAGTAGATGAATGCTGAATCTATCATGACTACCTTGAGGTACCCGAAGTAGAAACAGATTAGCTAATACTAGCCCCTGATTTGTTTCTTGCCTGGATTCTTTTGCGCGGAACACTTACTTGCCAAATGGATCTGCTTCTACTCTGACGGTTGTTGACTGATTTGCCTCCGGTACAGAATGTTGTAAATCAAAGTTTATTTGAATATGTTAATGAAGATTTGATAAACAGTAAGTACGATTTTTGGCGTTTTCCAAGCTTTTCTATCTACTGTCGAAAACTTGCCGCTGCACACATATTTAAAAACATTTAGGTGGCAATAAACGAAGGAATTTTCACGAAGCATTTTAGAAAATCGTTTGCAGCTATCTAAAAATGAAATTTTCCAAGTTTTCACCAAAATTCGGAAAACATGACTGTGAATTAATCTACTGCGATCATAGGCACTTGGTTTTAAGTGCTCAATGTGCTGCATTGGTATTTCTTTTGGCATTTTGAGTTATGACTAGTGGTGTTTGATATTTGTTTGTTGGCTAAAGTACACAGACAACTTATTTATTATTCAGCTCCGAACTCGTTAAGATTTACATTTCTTAGCTGCGGTTAGAAACAGATTAGCGAATAGAAACCGCTGCTTTGTTTCTTGCCTGGATCCCTCTATGAGAAACGCTTATTTGCCAAATGGATCTGCTTCCAGTTTAGCCACAGTTTCAGTTTCTTTTAAGCTTATTACAAATATCTCCTTTGAAAGCTCGATCTACGCGTGTGTGGAAAACCGCAGGGCTTTTCATTAGAATGACAAAATCTCTCAAAAATTGTCAGATTCGTTTCCAGTCAACAGTCAAAATCGCTTCCATTGCCATTTCCTGTTGGTTCATGTCCTGTCTTGTTATTTCATTACATCAGCAGTGCTGAGGAGAGATGGGTCAGGGAGTCACTGACCTGGGGGCCCAAGGCAAAAGAGGCCCATAAACAGTAACTCAATTGAAAAACTTATAAGTAAAAAACCAGCCTCTCCATTATCACAACCTGCCAATAATTGTTACAATAATAAAAATTATGAATGAATAAAGTAAAGCAAAAATCCTAGTATGTTATCTCACTCAAAAAAGCTAGTAGCTTTAGGTAATTTTCTAGGAAATTAACAAAACCTTTTTTAACAAAACTGGAAATCGTTGAGAGCCTGTTTTTGGATTTCACTCTCAGATAGAGATGAATTTTTTAAATTTCTTTTGGTCTTCAATACTTTTAGGACATTTTGCTCCTCAGCTATACGAGAGGTTTCTTCCACAGAGATCGACTAGCTAAACCGTTGTATTTCATCTAAGAGGTTCTCAAGGTTTGCTACTCAGCATTGATTGTTGTTTGTCTTAGCTGCAATACTTTATTCTACAACGTGCTTCAAAAATTTGAATCTTTTTGTAATCAAAATCATTGCTTGAACAACTTTAAGTGTTTCGACAAGCTAGCATTGTCCGTTTCTTACTCTAGAGAGATATTAAGCGTTTTTTACTCGATCTATTGCTTTTAAGAACTGAAGGTGACTTAATGCCACTCAAAAATAAAACCGTGGCGCGCACATCTGTCTGCAACAGTGGATCTGATTTGTTTGAATTTAGTAAATAAAAGTAAATGAAAATATAAAGAATTGCAAAATAAGTTTTTGGCGCCGCAAAACTTGACGGTTGCACGAAATACCGGAAACATTGTAGACATACTAAGCACTTTTCGTCCGACACTAGTGACCGACAGTAAAACAGGATCCCGACTTGTGTAGACAGAAAGAGTTCGGTGGTTTCTCTCTTGGACTCTTCAATAAGGCGCGAGGTTATTGGTGTGACGTCCTTTCACGTTACTTTCGATCCACACCTGGTTATAAATTCTCAGCTTACTTTCGATCATTAACCGACGTTCATACTTTGAAGAGCGTCAGACGAAAAGTGCTTTAGCATGCCATGTTTCCGGTATTTCGAGCAATCATAAAGAATTGAAAAACTTATAGCTAAAATGTTTTTATTTTTATGCATTACGAAAAGTCAGTAAAAAGATACTTAAATCATCCCAGCATACTGAGAATAAAGAGCCATTTCACTTTCAACCCTGTTTTATTAGAGGAAATGGAAACTGAAATCAAAAAGCTTAATCCCATACTAATATATGTTCCGAACCCTTACAGGAAATATTTAATAATTGCATTGGAAGCCTGATGACCAAATGTGCGCAGACGTATCATCACTTCATAACGCAGACGTATCATCACTTCATAAACAAAAAGAAAGTACAGTTAAGAAAAACTACACTCCAATTAGTGTTTTTCCAACTGTTTCAAAGTTTTCGAGAGGCATTTAGTCAAACAAGTGGAAGAACACATAGAACCGTATTTTTCCATACTATTATGTAGATTTCGCAAAAGATATAACACTCAGTAAGCCTTGGTGCCTGTTTTGGAGAAAACTGCACTTTGCATTTACGTAGGTGGAAAAGTTAGTGCTGTCATGATGGATCTTTCTAAGGCTTTTGACTGCCTGAGACATGATCTCCTTATAGCCAAATTGCATGCCTACGGCTTCAGTTATGACCCCTTTTCTCTAATTTACAGTTACTTGCATAACAGACAACAGAGGATCAAGGTCAATGGGACTTTTAGCTCCTGGAAGCAACTTACTGTAGGAGTGCCTCAAGGATCATTTATTGCACCCCTTCGCCTCAATATCTTTATCAACGATTTGCTTCTTTCCTTGAATAATACAGACGTCTGCAATTGTGCCGACGATACAACTTTATTTGCTTGTGATATTGATACTGATAATGTTGTTGCTAGGTAAGAACTAGATTCCGCCCATGCAATCAAATGGTTCTCTGACAATTATATGAAGCTCAATGAAGACAAATGTCATCTATAACATTTGGAAATGTGAGTGATGACTCTGTTCTGGTCAAAATTGGCAGTTCTACTCTTACTAATAGTACTGAAGAAAAATTGTTAGGAGTTACCTTAGGTAGCAAACTTTCTTTTGCGCAACATGTAATAGGGCCGGCGAAACGTATTTGAAAGTGGAGGGGCCAAAATATCGAAGTCTTGAAAGGGCTTAGGAAGGCCGCCACCATGGTTAACGGCAAAAAAAAATTTAGGGTTATGGTGTCTTGGGATGGTCAGAAACTGTATCTAAAATGAATTTTAACTGAAGGTGTCGCATAGTCACGTCTATTGTGATGTTGACTTGAAATAGAAAAGTTTTGCAAAGTTTTAAAATAACCACAATCATATAGCTCGTAATGAAACCATTTTTTAGATTTTAAAGGTACCTGAAATAAGATGGGGGAGAAAAATTAATGAAACACGGATTCATAAAAAACATTAGCGTTGAAATGTCAACAGAAGAACTATCAACTAAAAAATAAAAAGTTAAGCAATTTTGTACAGTTAAAATATAACTTTGAAAAATCTTATCTTAAATTTTTTGGAAATTAAGTGCTTAAACAAAAATTTGAAAAACCTTCAAACTGAGCTTGTCAAAATGAGTTTAAATAGGATTTATAATTGCGTCTATATTTTCTCTTTCTTAGTAGGAATGGATTATCCAAACGATCAAACTCTGAAGTTTTCTTGATGATTCTTTTTAAGAACAAATCTGCCCATACTTTATTTCTCATATCCTCAAAAATCTTCTTTCCAGCTGTTTCTTTCCTTTCAACAGCTGATTTCTCTCTTTTTATAATGTTTCTGAGAAAGTTTTCGTTAACAAATAGACCTTGTGTGCCAAGTTTAGGCAATGGAAAAAAACGAAACTCCGTCAATTTGTGCAGGCACCAAGTTATTCTGGACTAGGTTTCTCAATCTATTTGCTAAGTCAAGCTGTTACTCATTGTAAAACTTAGATCATGATCGATTTCTTGGATCTAATTCCCATATTCAATTTTATGTATGTCTTGTATGGTAAAGACATAGCAACCAAGGTAAAGCTAAGAAAGCATTTGAGAGAATACTAGGCAAAGTTACTTACAGAATCATATACTACATTTATTTCCACTTGTGCCTAAAAAATTTTCTTTGGCTCTGCAAAAAAGTGGGGGGTCATGAAAGAAATATTCTGCCCACAAACCAACAAGTAAAACCTCAGAAATGATCGCGAATTTAACTGACCAAGAGTGAAATCAGTCATGCATGGCTCAGAAACTGTTCGATATAGGGGTCCACAGTTATTGTGTACACTCCCAGTCTCAATTAGACACTCGACTAACTTGATTGAATTTAAGACCAAAATCAAAGCTTGGAAGGGAGATGAGTGCCAACATTTAGTAACACATTTAGGCTTTATCTGAAATTTTTATCCATTCTGCTTTTTTTGTGATTTGAAGAAGTTGTCTTTTATTAGCTATGCTTGTAAATATTTGATCTTATACATGTATACCTACCTTATCGTAAGAAGAAAATCCACACTTAAGCATAGCCAGTAGTAGATATATATAATTATAAAAGGTAAAATTAGCTCAATATATGATGCAAATGTTTCGCCCCAAACAACAAGGCCATATTGTAAGAAGTAAAGAAACAGAAAATTATGCAAGCAGAGTAATGTTCTAGATAAATTTTTTGAAAGATTGGATTCACAATAGATGCTTGTATCATCAGCAAAAAGAAAAAAATTTAAGTTTCTTGGAAGCATTAGGTAGATCATTGATGTATATAAGAAACATTAATGGTCCTAATACAGATCCTTGTGGAACACCAAAAAAAATTTTAAGCAAGTCATAATTGCAGCCATTAACAGACACAAATTGCATTCTATTAGAGATATATGAGCTGAACCATTCTAGTGCACATCCACAAACACCATAATGTTCTAGTTTAGATAACAAAACACTATGATTAACAGTGTCAAAGGCCTTTTGTAGATCAATGAAAAAGCCGCAACCAATCCTTTAATCGTCACGTGCATTCCTTACAACCTTTGTTAGACTCACTAGAGAAGATCAATGGAATGATTTTCTTGAAACCAAAATTGTAATGAGAAGAGAACATCGTGTTTTCAAGGAATTTATAGAATCTTCTATACATTAACTTTTCAAAAAGTTTGCTGAAGATAGATAAAAATGAAATAGGCCTATAGTTGGATGGAATCTCATGATTTCCTTTTTTGAACAATGAAATTACCTTGGCTATCTTGAGTTTATCAGGAAATATACCAGAGAGGAAAGATTGGTTCAAAAGACTAGTAAGAATTGGTTATCAATGATTTTAAGTAATTTGATAGGAATACTGTTTGGACCTGCAGATTTTGATGGGTTTAAAGTGTTAATTTGGTCAATGACTTTCATCTTAGTTACTGGAAAAAGAAAAATGAATTAGAAGTTCTGTTTGATAAGTAGGCAAGAGGAGATTTGATAGTCTTTGGGATTAACTTGTTTACATCACCAGCAATTTTAACCAGAGATTACACTACCATTTTTATCTTGAATTGGGGGGACTAGTCCATCCCACTTTTTCAGAAAGTTGGTTCTTGAGATTCTTGCAAACCTGATGAGAAGACGTCGGGGGGGGGGGGGTTATGTACGTTATCTAGATCGTCACATTTTAAAGACATTTCTTGGGAGACAAAAGGTGTTTCCTCCAGAAAAAAAGTTTCAAACAGGAAAAAAAGGGCATGGACCAAAAAGGCGTGGTCCGTGACACAACCTTTGTCCTTCCCCATATATCTCAGGCTGGAGCCGCCACTGTCTGATTCTCTTCATCTTTTGTATTCTATTGTTGATCCAGGGTTTATCTTTGAGCTTCTTTTCATTTCTGCTCCGCTTTTTAACTGAAGCATGTTTATTTGTCAAAAATGTAAGATCATACAGAAATCTATCAAATTTCTTGTTTAACTCTGTGTCGTTGTTTTCCAAATAAGTAAAATCAAGCTTGTTAAATCCCCCAAAAAAGTTCTTTCTTCAATTTTATAGTCATGTTTTAGAGATACAGATTTATTTCAACTAAACTGAGTATTTTTCAAAATGAAAAACTGAGGAAAATGGTCTGTAACTTGCGTTAGTATATTACCACTTCATATGTTAGCATTGGTACAATTTGTGTATATGTTATCAATAATTGATGCTCTGTTTTTAGAAATTCTAATAGGATGATGAAAAGAAGGAAGAAGGCTAGTATAAGAAGAAAATTATTGACAAAGTTACTTTTTGGTGTATGGGAAGCATAACCTAAGAGATTAACATTAAAGTCACCCATAATAAATTCCAGCTTGTTTAAAGATAATTTTGATAGATGTCTTGAAAATGAGAAGTCAGGTTATCAACATTGGAATTAGGATGTCTATATACACAGCAAATACACAAACCAACACCAACATTTTGAGTAAGTGATGAAGTCTTGAACAAAGTATAGCCTGGAATATCAACAGTAGATAAGATGGGAGTGTCCTTAGAATGTCATATTTCAGACACTCCAATCACATCAAGATCCAAGTTTGTGTGAACAGATAGAGAAACTAATTCATCATGGCGAAGGGATAAGCTTCTTATATAAGTGTGAAGAATAGAAAAGTCATTGGGAATAACTGTAGGGAAGAAAGTTCAGATAGAGTGAAGAAGTAAGAATCGATATTAAGAGGCATATGTTCATCGACATCTTAATTGCTAAGATTAAGTAAGTTTATTAGGTAGGATATTCTAAAAACACTTACTGCCTTTAGCCTAAGCAACACCATAGAACAAGAAAACAAAAATATATTTTTGGAAGGATTTTGAAATGTCGCCTAAATCTCGCATTAAGGCCGCGCAATTTCTTATGAAAATCAGACCTGTTGGAAATTATAAGTTCAAAAAGCCATATAAAATTTGTAATTATTGAGAGCAACTTTTGTTAAACAAAGAATCATACTTTCGGCTAACTTTGTGGGCCTGACTTCTAATCCTGATGCCTTCTAAATACTTAGAATATTTGAGTCTCAATATCCTTATAAAATATTTTCCTACCAACATTTGTGTCTTGTACAAAATAATGGGTCACATCGGCTTAAAAGTTACAGTTTGTCTACTTGCAGCTATGTAAGCATCCCCCCATCTTTCTGTAACGTCTGAGCCGTGTTGAGCGGCAGTACTACTCAACCCCCCATCTGAGCGGTAATCAACTCGGTTGTTCATTGGTTGTCAACAAAATTTGTATACATCCCCCCAGGTTGGCTGTGATTTCTGATGATATGATTGGTCTAGGCAGGCTGACTACCGGTCAGTTCAGCTCGAATCTGCTCTACACTGACTCAACCCCCCTAGCTAGCAAGCAATAATTTCATAATCCCCCCCCTCCCCACGCTAGCTTTATCAATTTATGCTAAGGAGGTAAAGAGGTTTACCAACAAAATGGGGTGCTTTGCATACACTCGTTTTTTTACAAGCAGCGTTGAGAAGTGGGGTCTTTAGGATTGACAGTATTGCGGTACATTGCCCTTTTCTCTGTCGGTAATTCGTCGATCTTCCTCAAATTGGGCGGTATTTCGGTAATTGAAAAATCTTCAGTCACTGTATTTAGTGAATCTAATGCCCAGTGCACGGTATTGGCCAATTCCGAATTAAACAATGTAGCAGTTTAATTAAAAGTATGGGTGAAATGCTAGCGCTGGTTTCTTGTTGTATCCATGTTGTAGCTTTTGTGATTGTTGTATCCATGTAATTTTCCGATTAACTCTCAATTTCTTTGTTCTCTCCACTTTCAACGAAGTAACCCCTAGTTCAAAAATCTTGCAGTTGCAACTACAAATGTGCATGATATAATTTCAGATTATTCATAATTACTTTTTTCCTCTTTGTTTTCCTCACAATCTGAAATGCAGATTCGCTGGAGACAATGGACCGTTTATCGTTTTGCCCACATGCCATTTATACATAATATTTATTATAAAAAGTAAACTCGACTTCAGGTGGGGACGCATAGGAGGGTACCCTATTTTTGTCAATGGCAAATTAATTTGAAATACCTACTGTGTAAGAATAGGTCACATTTGTTTAATTTTTGCTTTCGAAAACAGTACAATCTTATTAAAATACATTCGTGTTGAGCTTTCGTAATACAGAAAGTTTGTAGTGTCTTCCTTATATATGTATAAGAGGGAATACCCAAGTTAGAACTTTGTTCTATAGGATTTGCTTGGAACTGATTCCTAGCCTTTTTTTCTACACGCTGGTACTACTGCTAGTGCTAACTACTTCTGTTTTATATAAAGCCATCAGCATAGCAGAACAGCGCACTTTTTGATTTTCAGCTTTTAGGCGTTAAAAGCGTTCCAACTGCCTAAAGAAGAAACTAAAAAATATATTTCTAGCTTAAAAATTGAAACAAATTTGGGTCTTTTTTAGTTTTTTCTTTAGTTCCTGGAGTCGAAATTTTGTCACGTCACGGTTTCGAAGAATTTTATTTTGGTGTTCCCGCGGGACCTTTTCTTACACCTCTGCTATTAATAATTATTATTAAACAAGTTCTCGTTCGGTCAAGAAAGCTGCCAGGTAAACAGGATCTCTTCTTCTACAAAGAATATCAACGACTTCAACAGGACGCTAAGAAGGCGCTTGTTTCCCTGAGAAAAATCTTCAAACTTTCTTCTGTCCAGTCTTAACAAAATCCATCCGATTATGTTTGGGCAGATCTGCATGATCCTTTATTTTTAGCTAGATCACATTAGCTCTATTAACTTACAGTTGCTGCAAAGCGCATTAGAAGATGGAAATATTTTCGATTGCAGGCATAAAGCTAGATCAACTTTAAACGGCTTTATTTCCATTGATCTTTACAGTTATTTTGGATTCGATTTAGCATTTTCAGAATTGTAGAGCAATATTACGTTACTGCTTGAATATTATATACGTTTTGATTTAAGCATTAAATTTTGGTACCATTTCAAGAAACATATGTCAATTTCCCCTACATTTGTTTTAATTCTCCCCAAAGTTGATTTATCAGTAAGACTCATCTTCACTAAACTGCAGGAATTTATATAAAATGCATGAGATGGGTGGTCTCGGGTTAAATATTATACCTGAATAGGGGAATGGGCGCAGCCAAAAAAGTAATTTTTTTGTACAGCGTCCTTTACGTATTTGTGCAAAGATCAGATGGGAGACTACAGTATGGAAAATCAGCTAGATATGACGAAGTCTTTTGAAAATTTATGTTAGAAAGATTGATGAAAAAGGGGACCTGCATAAGCCTCATAATTTGTGAGCGGATGAGTCTTAGATGTATTGTAAATTTTCCGCTAATATATCGGCATATATTACATGCTTGAAGATTTCCCCAGAAATTACTTGAAATTCAAACGAAGTTGATTAGAATTCAAACTGCAATTTATTCGGTAATTTTCATTTGGAAAACTCAATATTACGGTAAAATGAACGAATTCTTGCAGAATAACGGTAATAGGGAATTTTTCTTGCGGAATCACGGTTTTTGATACAATCCAAAGACCCCCTTTCTAATACTAAAAGATTCTTTATTTTTTATCAATTTACCGTAAATTCACTTTTAGCCCCCCAACGGGGCTTATTGTTTTTCGGCACTTTTAAAGGGGGCTTGAAAGATAGGGGGCCTTTTTCAGTGGTAGACTAATTTTTTGCTATTTGCGAAATAATTTTTTGTTATTTGCGATCTATGCAAATCACACTTCTACATCATTAATATTGTCATCGTCGTCGTCATCGTCATTGTCTTCTGAAATCGAGAATTCGAAAGGGTCGACTTCATCTCTCTGAGGGTCGACTTCATCTCTCTGAGTACCAACGGTCTGAAATTTCTGTAAAAGACTCGCACATGGTCCATGCTTATTGCATATTGAATATTTGTATTCGGACCCGTCGCTTCTTGAAGGAACATCCTTTGAATTTTGATTTGATGAGAAGTATTGAACAGCCAATGAATAAAATGAAAATATCCGTTTTATGTCAAGTTAACTTATTTTGGTGTGAGTGGAATTTCTTGGTTGAGCTGAATTGAGAAGGGGAGCTCATTAAATGTTTTCTCCTGAAAAGGGGTGACAATGAAAGAGGGGGGCTTAATTGAGAAGAGGGCTTAAAAGAGAATTTACAATAACTCCTGAAGTTTCTTAAAATGGTTCTCACTCTATTTTTTTCTGATCAATACAGGAGATTATTTTTTCAAAACTGTAGGCTCAGTACTAATTGTAAAGCTTCAAGTATTTTAACTGGAAATTCACCTTGCCTGTTAAAAATGATTTAATTCAACTTACTTCCCTTCATAAAAATAACAAACGGTGCAATGGTACAATTTGAAATAAATTAGATACAGGCCTTCAGAATAAAAAGCTATTAGTGAATGGGTCCGCTCCACTCTATGATTTTTAATCAGGCTTAAAATTTTTGAATTTTAAAACCATAAATTCCTAAAACATAGATACAAATATTTGGTCAAATCAAGAAAAGTCAAAGCAGGCTGTTAAATTTTTTGAGACACCCCTTTTTAACTTGTGTTTCGTTTGTTGTAAGCAACCAGCTGAGTTCACTCGACTGCCTTACACACGTAAATTGAAAGTATTTGGGAAGACTATAAACCTTGTATCTATTGTGAATATCATTTGCAGCATTGCGATAAGCAACGCCTGTTAAGCCTTTCAGGAGAGCATGTTCCACTATTTCAAATGTCTTAGCATATGCGCAATGTTATTTTCTATTTACTAACACTACATCTACCTCCTCAGAGCTCCTCTACCGCCTCTCCCCCCTCCCCCCTCCCCTAATATCTACCAGTTTCAAGAAAAGCTGTCAACCTTCCTCCGGTCAAGAGTTTCTTACTGAAAAATCTTTTTCATTTTCAATGGGTCCAACATGGGCGTGGATTGGGGGTACATAATTAGTCTCTATCCCCTCTTCTTGCATCTCTGCTTTTCTAAAAATAAATCTAGAAAATGTGTAGCTTGTTTTTAGTTACAAATACTTTTTTGAGCAGATGTAAAGTTACTTGCTTATATCAATTGATAACAAAAGTGTGTCATAATTTTAATCTATAAATTCTAAAAGGCTAATGCCTAAAATTTAAAGTGCAATGCAGTTCTGCTAACACATTTAGACTTAAATAAATGGCAATACAATTTCTTCAACCTCCTCGATTTTCCATTTCTTTCAAGTTTCTCAATTTCTTTTGGTAACTACAACCTTCCACCGACCAGTGGCCGTGGGGCCGTGATATTTTCCTGACACGAAAGCCCAAAATTCATCGAAGATATTTTTAGCATAACTGAATCACCTTAAAACCGCAGGGGGCTCATTTTCACTCGAAATAAACCATCCACTATAGAGTTCTAAAGTGATGAAGTCACAAAAATCTTTTAATTTTTGATTCTTAAAATTTTTAATTTGGATTCCATAACCTGAAAGAGCATCATGAAATACCTCTAAATTTGCAAAATCAGGCTTGTGTATTACGAAATGACAGAGATATGGCCACATGTTTATTGGTTCTCTCCCCATCAAACCTCTGTATTTTTGTCTCTGTTCATAACTTTATGAACCGAGCCAAAATAACAGTGATTCGTTAGCAAACTTCAAATCTTTCATTAGCCATATCTCAACCGATTTTAGACATATTTGGCCAATTTTGCGTATTTCAAAGTATTTTATGGTGATCTTTTACGCTATGTGGTTAAAATTCAAAAATTCTATAAAAAGGTTTCTGATGACGTCACACTTCAGAATCCTATAGCATACGGAATAAACACTGTATCCTCTATAGATGTCAAGAAGTATGGAACTCAATTCCCACAGAAATAACCTCAAGCTCATTTATAAAGACCTATAAAGCAAGTATCGAACTATTTCAGCGCTTGCTCATGCCACATTTGTAAACTATTTATAGGACAAGTGGACTACATAAAGTGACAGGGAACATTCATAAAGTGACAGAAAATATTTTATAAGAAATTCACTTATTACTGTTACATTGTTTAATTCAGTTTTTGTAAATATATTTAGATAGTTTTAATTAGTTCAAATTTAGCTAGAACTGTACGTTTACCAACTTAAAAGAAAGAAAAAACTATGATATCTGATACATTAGTGACCACATATTCTACCTCATTAGCATCTTCAAAATCTGCTTCGTCAAAATCTTCAATATGTACTCCATTCTCGCTCCAATACTTGATTCAATAGCCCCCCTTCCAAGATCTTTACTTTGTAAGCGTCTCCATATCTACTTACTTGGTGTCTCCCATATCTACTACATGAGCCCTCAAATATCTACTACATTAGCCCTGCAATATCTTATTTATTAGCCCTCCCCCCTTCCCAACCTTTACTTGATTGGCGTCTCCCATATCTACTACATGAGCCCTCAAATATCTACTACATTAGCCCTGCAATATCTTATTTATTAGCCCCCCCCCCTTCCCAACCTTTACTTGATTGGCGTCTCAAATATCTACTTACTTGGTGTCTCCCATATCTACTACATGAGCCCTCAAATATCTACTACATTAGCCCTGCAATATCTTATTTATTAACCCCCCCCCTTCCCAACCTTTATTTGATTGGCGTCTCAAATATCTACTTACTTGGTGTCTCCCATATCTACTACATGAGCCCTCAAATATCTACTACATTAGCCCTGCAATATCTTATTTATTAGCCCCCCCCCTTCCCAACCTTTACTTGATTGGCGTCTCAAATATCTACTTTCTTGGTGTCTCCAATATCTGCTTTAATAGCAAGCAACTTGAGTTCTGAGATACTAATTATAAGACATTAAAATGATTTTGATAGATGTGTATCTTCACAATACCGCCAAATGCCTTTTAGAATGCTTAATTGTTCCCAGACTTCTAAATTGACTATTTCAATAAGTTTGTTGAAAGCGAAAGCTAATCATAAGCGAAAGCTAATCATAATAATGATTTAAACTCACACCTATCGTCAAAATGCCTCAAAATGCTATGTTTAGACCATATAATCGTTTCCAGACCTCTAACACGCTTATCCTCAACCAATTATTACAGACGGGGCCCTAATTTGGGTAAAACTTATACACAGTATAAACTCTCAGGTATAAACTCTCAGGTATAAACTCTCAGGTATAAACTATTAGGTAAAACTATTAGGTATGAGCTATTAGGTGCAGAGGGTCTCCTAACAGAGAGGGGTAAAACAGAATCTATGTGAACTTGGAGTACTTGTCTCATTTTCAAAACGCTAAAAAATGATATCCAGACGTGGGTTGATTCAAGCTGGGCTAAACCTGAGGTGGCATCAATCACACTCCTGAAATATAACCCGAGTTATTTCAACCCAGAGTTAGCTGTGTATCTATTCAAAATCAGTTGATCCAAATATTACTGGCATTCTTTTGCTTGGATAGTTAAGAGATGCGTTTAAAAGATTTGATGATTTTAGTTTCAAATTTCTTTACACGGAGATGAGATCAAATCAATGTAGTTTTTGATATCGTCCATTGCTTTATTAATTCATCTTGACCTCTGGTACATTATAAAGACATTCTGTTCAAATAAATTTTCATGAATTGTCATTAATGTTTTTAATCGTTTTTCATTTTTGGCCATAAAAATGCTCTAAACGGCTACACAACTAGATTACAATGAGTTCAATATCATTTTGTTTTCGCTTCCTTATGGAACTATAAATGAGGCAATTTTCAAAGCAAGTGATTGGGCTGGTACCATCCCCTCTTTTGTCTCGTATACCTTGAAAATACAAAGAAACGATATACCATTTAAGTGATATTTTCAGGAGCTTGTACAGAGATATGCAATCATGCTTTTCAGAAAATCATGTACCAGGAGTTACAGCGATCTATTTAAGCCTTGATAAAACCCGAATTAGATATTCTGATCAATTGTAAACGTTTTTGACATGGTATTTCGTTTTCTCTCCCTCAAAGCAAAACTATTATCGGAGTCAGATTAAACTATAAATGTGGCGATTCCAACCATATCAAAATAATTGGCAAAGATTGTGAAATGATACTTTCCAGGCAAATTTATTGCTTAAATGAGTGTACCACCTTCAAAAGCTATTTTGTAGCCTTGCATTTGAGGTAACGAAATCTGACTTATATCAGCAGAAAGCTCAGACCTTAGCTACCAAAGTGTGTCTCAGATTTTTCAAATTCCTCCTCCCCTTGAACCTATAGCCTGTCAAAAATTGAAAAACATCTTTTCTTCCCTCTCATAGCTGTATTTGGCTATAAAAGACGGACCAGAGCAAATACAAAAATTTTGAGACACATTTTGCTTACCCGACATCTCTCTTGGTCGTGTGCAAAATTTTGAGCCATTCGATAGGCTCCTTGGGTAAAAAATAGCTTTTTCGTACCTGTATGTAGACGAATTGTTAAGTCCGGAGAAAACGGGATTTTACTGATCGCACTTGCAAGTTGCAAGGTACACTCGTAAATCACATCCACATTGTAATCCGGGTCAAGTCACTTGAAGCTCAAAAAGCTTGTTCAAATAAACACTGGATACGTACATTGGATACGTGGATATTCCATGCGATATTGTAAAAGAGACATGCGACCACAACCGCAAAGCAACGATAATCGGCTTAACATGTCAAGAGATTTCAGGCCTCAACTAAAAGTTCTGATAAAGAAATTACGGAAACCTTCGTTTACAAGGGATTTTTTCTATTTTCGAAATTTTTGTTTGTTTCAAATTTGGTATCATTGCGTGCTTCAAAAGTTTGGCTACTTGAATGTGAAAAAATCGAAAAATGGATGGTTTCATCCAGAAAACGTTTACCGTAACCTTAAGCAAATGCCATCGCGACCTGGCAATGCTATTCATGGGTCTTCCGTTCGTTGCAGAATTATTTTCTGACGTCCAAGAAAAAATCTTTCTTTCTCCGGTTATCTAAAGGTTATCAAAACTCGACCTTAAGTCATCCGGTTTTCTTCTTAGAATTCTTTGTGATGTTTTTTAAATAAGATATTATTTTCGAAAGCTTACATATTTGGTATTGAATGAAACCGTATGCCTTTGTTCAAATATAACATTATTTTTGTTTAAAATTTGACTAATGATTATTCCCTTTCAATTGCTTCCAATTTAATCATATTTTGTTTATAATTATGAATCTGCTTTCCCAGAGTTTCAGCTTTTCACAATGTTTCTGGAAATATGGAAAATTATTTTTCCGTGACAGAAAAAGGTGACAAAATGAAAAAAAAATCACCCTTGATTCGTACTTTGTTCTGCTCCCTTATCATGTGGCAAATAAATTTTAACAAAGAGAATTTTGAAGAAGCAAAGAGCGTCTGGAATAGCTGCCTAATATTTTATTCCTTGAAAATGTTTTATGAATACGCGCTTTCAAAAATTCTAAAAGAGACCTTTCCAAGAGTCTGAAAGGCGTGATTGAGAAAATTTTTTTTCGCCCATCTAAGTTTCTTTGAGCTGGCAAGAGAAAATAGCTGAAAACACCAACATAAAACAGAAGTAATGGTTTGCTTTTAGACAAACACTTGGACGCAGCTTAAAGACAAAAATGATACACTATTGAGCACTCTGCAAGACCAAAAGCGAAGTGCATATTAAAAAGTGAACATAAGGCGGTGGCATAGTACCATAACCACAAAAATTCGCGGGTTGTGGCATGGGCACAATCAACGAGCGGGAACTTTTGCTGAGCAAAGCGCACTCGTGCTACTCTGCTGAGCAAAAATCTTGTAGTGTGCGGCGACTTTTTAGTGATA